TTAGAATCCAGGTTTCGATATCGTAGTGGTCAGAGCACGGACAGCCCATTTGTGTAGCATTGTGCTTAACTTCAAACAAATCAAAACCTAAGTTTACAGCTGAGCCAACGAAGAGCAGGCCTACAGTGAGCGACATAATTAAATAACTGTTTGAGATAATTAATAAATCTAGCTTTATTATGTTTCTTGTCAATCTAAAGGCATCGAGAACTTTGGCAAACATCGTCTGTTGAAATATAATAGTATGACTAATTTTTTGATAAGCTGGGATAAAACAGGTTTCGGAAAACGTTATTTCATATATATATATCTGATTCCATTAGAACACAGAATGTTGATGTTTTGAAACCTATCAAACTACCTCTTCTTAATACAAATTCGTCAGAAAGACATGCACTTAAAGATCTAAAAATTAAAAATGTGTAAAAATGATGTTTTTATTAGCAGATAACGATAGTGTAACCGTGATAGAAGAATAAAAAGTCACTACAGCGAAGGCTTATTACAAGTTTAAAGGATCAGAAGACATACGTTAAGGTAGTTAATGATCCAATAAAGTGCATTGAACTTAAAACTAGTGATTCAGTTAAACAAGTTAAGAAACAAAATTGTATTACTGAAAGAATGTGAAACTTAAGTAGCTCTGATGGTGCTACTTCAAGGTTTTGTGGGTTATCAAAGACTCATTTTAACAGCTGTTCCTTTTAGCCCAATTTTGTCTTTCGTCTTTCATTGGTTAACTTTTTGTATCAGATTTCTAACAGATATTATTTCAGCTTTAATCTATTTAATTAGCTATACTCATTACCAGGTTGATTTTTAGTTTTTATCTAAGTAGATATCTTGCTTTGATCAGAAGTTAATATTAATAAGGCAGAACTTAGTATTAATAATATTGAAAATTTTTGTTCCTCTATAACTAAAAAAGTCTATTAATTCAAAAAAAATTGTTGTTTCGACGTGATATCGTTGCTTACCAAAGGTCCCATTAATTTAGCTTATAAAGTAAATACAGGTTTAAAAGTGATTTAGATCTAAAAGATAGAATGGAATTGTCAGTCTAAGTCATTTTAATGTTTCTGAATACTTGTCTACGTAATACTAATCCTGTCTTTAAAGATATATTATATTAACAAATTAATAGAATCATAAGGTTTCACTGTATTCAGCTATAATAGTCAATGGGATATGTTGAATAGACAGCTGTTAACCACCTAAAATATGGAAACTTGATGGTGTTTTTGTAGAGTTAAAAAGATCTTGCCTGAGAATGGATATACTAAGTTGTTCGTAAATAAATGTAAATACAAAAACTCACTTAAGAACAATCAAAGTGATTTTAGTTTTCAAAATAACTTAAATCTCTTTAAGGTTGTTTTACTTTTTTTTTCCATAGTCCTTGCGGACCGTCGAAAGATCTTGCTCTGCCATCGTTTCTAAAGCTGTTTCTTACGTCAAGGATGCAACCCACTTGACAGCCTTCCCTCTTTGAAAGGACGAGCATGTTTGGTGGGACTGGGATTCGACCCTCAGATTGCGAGTCGAGCGCCTTATCCACCAGGCCATGCCGGGCCAAAGGTTGTTTTACTACCTTTTGGAAAAGCTTTTCAGAGCATCATGGGCGTATTTTCTATAGAACTGGTTTCCAAGTAGTCCATACACCTTTAAGAGTTTAAAGGATATATTTTATCTCTTACTAAATTGAAAATTCCTAAATAATCTGAAAATGATATTGTTTATTGTGCCCTTTGCACTAATTGTGAAAATATATAAATAGATCAAACATCTAGAACTTCAAAGAAATCAACAAGATAAAAACAAAAGAGCATTAAAGTGGAGTGACCATACTTCCTAGAATTCCAGTTGAAAAATGTTGTCTCGAGAGAAAACAATCCCCGAAAGTGTCTCCAGTTCGAAATAAAAATCAATTACATTTCATTTTTTATATGTATTATGAAGTCTGCAACAGACATACATGAGGATTAAACATTCAAGCACTTTTAATATTATTTTTATTACCTTACGTCATCGTCATGTGATGACACTGGTGCAATCTTCATAGCTTCAACATAGAATGTGTCATGAAACATTTTCGTGTTTTTTTATACAATAAAATACTAAGACATGCACACTTATCAGATGAATTCAGCTGACATTAACACGACATTCTGCCCCCAGTGGCACAGCGGTATGTCTGCGGACTTACAACGCTAGAAACCGGGTTTCGATACCCGTGGTGGGCAGAGCACAGATAGCCCATTGTGTAGCTTTGTGCTTAACTACAAACAAACAAAGAAACACGACAATCTTCTTTCACTACTGCCTGCATCAGGAATTATGGCATACAAAGGTGTAAAAAGTTTTTAAAGGTATCCTCGGTTTTCGTTTACAAAATATGGTCACCTTACATTAAGGTCAGGCCACACTGGTCATTCTTCTTCGGCACAACATGCTTATAACGAATTCCATAATAGGAAAGCTACATACCTTCTGTCTTAAAAAGTTATTTCTGGAAACACTTGAGAGAATAATATCTTGAACCGTTTGATGAAATAAGTTTACGCTCACACTTTATTGTTCCCTTCTTTTCTTATTGTGTTAAGTTTTCGACTTATCTATGGTGTAATTTATCGTATGACCTGGCCTATTTAAGCGACGTAATATCAAATTGGCATACTCCCTGATGACTAGAGCTGGTAAGCACTCGAAACTTTGGGCTCTCCTTTTCAAATGATGCTTAATTGGTGTGTTCTTTAAATTATTGTATGTTTTAACTGAACTACTCTTGGATTTTACTTTAGCAATCTCTTCTGTTCCAGTGTTCGTCAAAAACAGTTTATTGTCGAACTGTTTACTTTATTTCGCTTATTTGTTTTATTAACTGATTCTCTGTAGTTAAAAAGTATTTAGTCACAGCGGTATCTCAGAACCGAAAACTATTACATTTGTAACAGGGAAGGTCAAACGTTTTTCTTTAGAAGTAACAGAGAGAGAAATGTGCTCCAAAAGTTTAACTGGGAACGTATTATGGCATAAATGCAACAATGATGTAATTCACTTTATATCCATCAACTGTTATAGTAACAAATTATTTTTTTCCAAAAATACATGCATTTGTTATCCCACTAACATCAACTCCGTTAGCGAAGTGCAAATTTGGACATTATTAAGGGATTTTTAGGATCTCGGTTAAAAAACAACAACAAAATATTGTGTTGATTAGACTTCTTTAGAAATGACTACAGAAACAGCTTAATCAGCATTTTAATTTATAAGCGTCTCACAACAGATTGAAATGTTAGTGAACTTTATTTATTAATCTCTAGGAATCTTACTTGTTCGAGCGGTATGTCTGCGGACTTACAACGTTAGGCACCGGGTTTCGATACCTGTGGAGGTCAAAGCACGGATAACCATTGTACAGCTTTATGCTTAAACTACAAATAAACTCACTTGCTCGAAGGGGAAAATCCAACAGGTAAAAAAAATAATTCAAAATTAATTAACTGATTTGACAATCTTTCTTTAAGATTAACGAATGTTAGTTAAGTCAAGAGCATCTTTTGACAATTTACTGATTGTTTATGGCATTATTATATCTTATTTTACTCATTCTGAATTTCTTGAGTTAATATTTACGTGTGAAACGAAATATATATTATTATGCGTTATCAAAAAAAAAAAAGATCAAACAAACAAACCACTATAAAGTCTCATCGTTAGAATATACATAAGAGAAAATTGTAATTACTTATGAAATTTGATCTGTTATCTGATACTAGTGACATCTGTGGGAAACTCATCAAATCCTCAAATCACCAATATTTACTAGATTAATCAGCTATTATAGAATATAAAATCAATTTCGTAGCATTGCTTTTAGCACAATACAAAGTTTTAAGTTATTTCAACATACATTCACAAATCATAATCAATGGAATTAAGAAGTACGAGAATATCCTCTTCTCATATGTGTAGATGAAAGGCAAAATCTGTGGTATACCTTCTTCTTCAGTATTAGATGCATCTCTTATGGAAGATTTACGCATATTAATATTATTTCAACATACAATTACTTACTGAGCTTGTTGATCTTAAAAGGAAAGTTTCTTTCTTGAATAGTTTTAACAGGTAGTGTGATAAAAATTCCCGAATGATACTTTTTGTAATTTACTGTGATTTCAAAGTTTCTTTTAAATCGAAAGCTTCAATTGTTTGTAAGTTATAATCAATATAATTAAGAACATTCATAGTATGGGTGTTTAACATTAAACTACCACAGTACAGCGAGGTTCTAGACTAAATCGTTCGAAAATGGTTGCTGTTATTGCACCCTAACGTGTGATTCAAATTTAAGCATCGTAGAAATAAGATATGGCTAAAATATGTTAATTCTTAACAATTAAGAAATAGTGATTAACTGAATAAAACTTGACAAAATATTCAGCTATACCAAATTTGATCTAATACGTTAGACAATTTTCGATGAAAATGATAAAATTTAGTAGAGGTTTCTCTAATGCATTACATGTTTTGGAAAGGCACTTCCCTCATAGATTATTAATTTTAAAAACTTTTTATCTGACCAATATACTTGTGCTAGTAGCTTGCATTATTTTAATATTTTTGTCAGACAGATATTTACTATTTTTGAATAAATGTGAAACTGAATGGTCACGAAGGTGAGTGGCAAACTAAATTTATCAAATAAACTTATTTTATACGTTGATTCTTATGATTTGAACTATCGCATTTCTTTGGTTTTAAAACATAAAGCTTGCTGAATCCTAACATTAAAATGTGACGCATCAAATCAATGTATTCTTTTCTGTAACGATGAAATAAGTATTTGTCAAGATAATTCAATATTTAAAAAAATACATGCAAACATACAACACAGTATTGTTATTATTACTTTTTTCTTATTTCTACCAGATGTCGTTCTAAGTGCCAAAACACAACATCCGGGTGCCATTATTAAGTACTAACTATGGTTTCGTGGAAGAGGTTCGAAAGTGAGTAAATTAAAATATAATTTAGTAGGCCTAGATTAAAAATAAAATGCATCGCAATCTTGCAAGTTACTAAATTTTAATTATTTTTTACGTTATTTCAATTACACAATAACTGTAATTTAACCCTTTTATTGAATATTGTGTAGTATTAATGTTTTAAAAGTTAAACTAAGTTAATGAACTTTCTTGCTAAAATTTGAAAATTGAAATTGTATATATAATTCTGCAGACACTGTTAATACTAAAAATAGCGAAGTTTTTAAAAGAAGTATCACACATCTTCATGTTACTATTTATCTTATATTGTTATAAATTAAAACGTAGTTTTCAAGTTCATAGAGTTAACTTGAAAGTTGAATATGAAATACTGGGAGTGGGACACTAACATTAACAAGTTGACAGTGATTTTAATTTATATTAACTATTAATACTATTATAATTATATATAGTATAGTACTAAGCGTGCTATTGATATTAGACAGTAATAATATTAGGATATACAACTTCACTTTAGTTTCTATCATTGCTGGCTACAGAACTAAGGTCTGAATTAGAAAGTTACGTTAGATTTATTCAGATTATTGAAATTTAGGCTTAACGTTACGTCGTTAACACCGAGTTCAGTAAATTAGCAACACATCACATCAAGATAAATATATTTTTCGGGATTAGCCAGAGATGCTAGCTTACTGAAATGATTGAACTAATTAAAAACGTTTTAAATTCCCTCTTACAGTACTTGATACTACTGTATCATTTAATACTAATGTCTTAAAAATGGTAAGTGATCTGAAGAAGATCGATGAAGCTGCATCTTGCAAGGTAGACCCTCAGAATAATATCTAAATTTCACCAAGTGAAAAATATTGTTCTATTTTCTTTTTTTCTACACAGCAACAAAATTCAAAATAAAATTTTAACATCATTACTTTGGTTTAACTATTTTACCGACTCTTTAAATTTGTAGTAGGTTTGAAAAAATGTTGTCTTAAACCCACTGTGTAAATTGGTCAGTTAATTTTAATGACCTTTCATGCCACTTTTTTACCTATGCAAAATACTCAGTGATTAAGATTTAGTCATGTTTCTTGTGTTGTAATAAACGTGAAGCTAGAACTGAGATTTTATAAACTTGTAGTTGTTTTCAATAATTGGTAGAGGCTGGAGTTTAAGAGGAGGAATTGATGATTTCCAGAAAAATAAATGGTGGATTTAATTTTTACTTTTCATTTACTTGGGAATGGGTGTCTAGGAACAGAATCGAAAAACCAGATGGCCCCTTTGTTAATGTGTCCAGACATCCCGATTTTGGTGGGACAGTTCCATTTTTGAGCTACCTGTTCTGCTATTCCCTAGAATCTTTGGGGGATGTGAAAATGTTCTGCTTTGGGAGATAATGAACTTAAATGTCCCTCATTATCAAAGTTAATACTGGTAAGCACTACCGTACTGTGACTACACATAAGATTTGCCCTGTTCTCAATAATATTATTCATTTTCATATATTAACATTCAAATACATAGATAATCATATACTTATTGAGGATGTAATAATATGAAATTAACTTGTTTATTGTCTCATTCAAACACCGGTGGCCTTTATACTATGAAATCACTGAAATGTTGTATATTAGTGTTCAATACATAGTAATATTGTTATTACTGACAAACCAATATGAAATTAGTTTGCTTTATTTTGAGATATGCATAGAATGTCCAAAACATCTTTGACAATTTATTTTCAACTCTGTTATGTCTCAAATTCTTGCAGTTTGCATCACTATATATACATTTATTACTGTAACATTTCACTTAGACACACTATATTATATGAATATTTAAACAAAATTTTGCATTTTTCACACAATTTTGTTAAATAATTCTTATGTCTAGGTTAATTATAACTGCAGAAAATGATTAGATGGTATGTATTTTTCATGAATGTCATTCTTTCCTTATGCATGTTTCCAAAACACACACTTGATTTGTTAAAGAAAGTAATATGTAATAAAAAATATGATAATGAGATGTTATGCTTTTTTAATGAAAAGAAGTTTTTAATTTTTTTCAATGCAACCAATTTTTTATTCATCAGTTAGGTGTCCCTCTTTGGACTCAAGAAAATCTGGTCATTTTGCCTTTTGTGGTAGTTTCAAGTCAGACTGTTTTACTTTAGAGCAACAAGATAAATCAGCAGAATAACAGGAGATTCAACAAGCTATTTATTTTGAAGTAATTCTGAGTGAAAACAAATCTTTATTTAACTTAAAAACATTCATTGTTAAATAAATGCATAGACGAAGGACAGTGTCTTTACTTGATAGTTATTTCTCTTAACTCTATTATGAACTAATTATGAGGTTTATTAAAAAAATTTTAATGCTGCAGCAGTGATGTATTTAATGTTGGGGCAGTGCACCAACATGCCTCTCGTATTGCGGGCCCCTAAAGTAATACAAAAAACTTGTACATTTCTATACTTATAGCTGATCAGTACTGACAAGTCCCTTTAGAAAATTGCCCCGTGTAGTTTGAAGTGTTAAAATGCCTCTGTGTTGAGAGTTAAACTTTAGGAGAGTATGTTACTATTTAATAAAGAAATAAATTTACCAAACTAAGGGACTGAGATTGAGAGAGCTGAAATATTATAGTATTATATACTAAAGAGAATTGGATAGTTTAACAGATTACCTATTAGCAGTGATTACATTGGTTAGTGTTTTGTAAATTAATTGCTTAATCAAAATTACAACTAATTTATCAATTTCATGAAAATAATCAATTAATCAAAATTAAGATTAATTCAATTATCATGAAAACAATCAAGTAATCAAAATAATGCCGTTATGATTTCTCACAATTATTTTCAATGAATTCAAGGTAGTTCAACTTAAGTGATTAATATCACGACCCATGAAAATAATAAACTAATCAAAATTAATGTTTCCAATTATTACTATTTTTAGTTATTCCAACTGTCATGTGAGAATAATTACTAATGAGCACAATGATTAATCAATTAGCAAATTGCAATGCTACACAGGACAGTTCTAACATTTTAAATCAATGAACTCATAGATTGTCTTTGAGTCACTCTTCTTACCACTGATAGCTATCTCCAGTATGTCAGTCTAAAGAGATCAGCATGTGCAGATGACATATTTATATATGTCTTGTTTATTAACTGTTGCCAAGACAATATCTACTGACTTGTTATAATGTACATATGTCTGCAATTTGAGATTTCAAGAACTGTTGGACAAGTTTAGATAAAACTACTCATGAACTTCTTTCAACTGTGTACCAACTACAACATGACAAGGAACTGTTATATGATCCTTTGGTAAAGTATCATTATTAAATCCTACTCTGTCTGTAATTGATTTACTTTTGTATGAAAATTTATATTTACTTGTATGTCCTGTCTCAAAATTTCCAGTATCCTTTGAAAGTAATGGAATTGTTTGTTTGAATAAATATATAAACTTATTGATGGCTGAATTTTTATATATTCAGACAAAGTTTGGATGTAATAAACTTTTTGGTTTTCATGGGAGTAAATTTTCTTGAAAACAAGTTATACATTTGCATGTTATATTATTTGGCACACGTATCTCCACAATGCACAAAAAATGTCTCCTCCAAGCAGGTAAATATAAAAATCAGAACTGAAGCTAGCTGAATTGTGATCCAGTTGTACATTTATGTAGTATGAGGTGGCATATAATATGGTTTTACACTCTCATTAAGTTGTAAACTAAAAAATATTAGAGGTATGGATGTATTTCATGCAGCCTGGAGCATATTTTGAAGGCTCAGAATAATTTATAAAAATATTAATTTGGTAAAACTTTTAAGATATTGCTTGCAATATGAAACCAATATTTGTGTATTGAGACCAAAGTGAAATTTAGATTAAAGATGCATATATAATCAGTTGATGCTTTGATGCACTTGTAACATTTGCATGATCAAACAGTGTAACTGTGATATATCACTTCCTCAAAGAGTAGTGTTAACTGTGTAATTATCCATAATAATAACTTTAGATAAGAACCAGTTAAGAAAATATGGTGTTGGATATTAACATTTTGATACTAACTTGGAAATTGATATTGCCTGAAGCTTTCAAATTATAGCAGTCATGAGGATGATGTTGAATTTGAAATTTAATGCTTTGAGTGAAGTAGTATTATGTGAACATTTAGTTTTATGATCACAGTGTGAAGTAACTAAACTTTTTAACTTTTACACAATATTCTCTTAATTTGCAAATGCATGGGTATGCCTTCTTACCTGGGGTAAGAATAGAATCATTCATCCAAAAGGATGACTTTTGCTCAATGAGCTCTTCCCAGAATATGCACTATACATTAGATTTGTACCTTTTTTTTTTTGCTAGGAGAGATTTTTTTCATTGTTTTACTTTTGAAATGATCAGACTGTAGTGATTGTAGTGCAAACTTAAGTTAGCTTTTAAACAAAATATAGTATTTAGAAGTAGTAAAAGTTTGTTTATAATATTTTATTTAAAACTTTTTGAACTGTTTTTGTCATGGATATAAATTATAATTTTGGTATTTTAGGGGAATGAATGTTTTGCCATTTAATGGATTGGTGCCTGGTTTATATTGCTTCTCAATGACATTTTCTATTTTGTGATTGATGTCTAATAAGAGTTTCACATTACAAAAAAAAGTAGAGTATACTTAAATGTTTTCCTTACAAACTGTGTTGTGTGAACTGGGTAATTTTATATCCCATCATTTAACCACAGACATACATACTTATCAGCATTATTATAAATATAAATAAAAACTAGTATCCATCTTTGGTTCTCTCAGATTTTAAAATATAATCAAAAGATATCCTCAGTCATATTTTCACTTTTGTTTTATGTTTAATGCCTGCAGATGTTTTGAAACTAAAATCAAATCAGTAATAACAAAGAACAATAATCTATCTGTCCCAAAAGTACCAAGATTCTTCATCCCTAGAAC